CGATCACTATTCACGATTCTCCAAAGCAACAGTAACTACGTGTCCAGGTTTATTAAAAAAAGAAGCAATCATCCGCTTAGAGGCACTTTCCATTTGATTGGTTTCGGCTCATCTCGACAGACCCATACGCTCGATTGCTGCTTTGTTTTGGGATCGTTATTATAAATCCATGTTTCGTCACCTGTTACTATGTCTCACACCAAATTTGACGCCTCCTCGTTGAATCTGGTAAGCATGGCATTGCACCAAGTGACGCGATCCGTTTTTTTAGCCTCAGTCAAATTGTGTGGGATCCACCGAGAGCACAGCTTTTTTACACCCAAATGTTTGCGTAGTATTGATTGTATTTCACTCATGCCTATGCCTAAAGATGCCCGAGTCCTATGGTATGTCACATGCCTGTCTGTTTTCATCATACGGCACACAGTATCGATGTTTTTGTTATTCACAACAGTGGACGGGCAACCATCACGAAATTCGTCACTGAGATATACACGACCGCGTTTGAATTCTGCAAACCAGGTAAAAATAGTCATCTTGCATGGTGCTTCATCGCCAAAAGTAGTTTGAAGCCGAGCGAAGCTCCGCTGAACTGTTAAATTACACTTAGGGTCGTATTCCAGAACCCTACTCAATATCAAGTCAGGACTTGAGTATTGCAGTGAGCACTGAAAATCATAATCAAGTCCTTGCCATTAGGGTCGTATTTCCAGTGCTTGAAATCATACTCAAGTCTGCTCAAGTCCTGACTTGAGCATTGAGTAGAGTTCTGGAATACGACCCTTAAAGTCGTAGAAAATCAAATTCTACAGCCAAAGAGTTCCATTTTCAAATGTTGTAATTACTTTTTAAATATTGTTTATGTAAGTGGCCAGTTCCGGAAACTTATAGTGCGCCCCTTGGAGCATATAGGATTTGAGGCACTATTAGCGTTATTTCTCGAACAAAACTTTCTGCCACTTTTGAGAGAGAGGGGGAGGGGGGGTAGTACTACAAACAAACAGGAGCACTCAAATGCAATGTTGAGTTGTGTCACTATGGTCTCACACAAACAAAAATCGACAACACTAGCTTATTTTTACGAATACACAGATAAAACACACATTGATGTCATGTCCGTACACAGAATAAGCCTATAAAAATAAATCGATTCTCATGAATATACCAGAGACGGAAAGTTATCAACGTGACGGTGTTGATATGTATTACGTACTGGTTAATCACGTATATGAAAAATGTAATTTCACCCTTGGCTAGACTGGGTGTAGAGGATTTCTTTTTGCAATTTTGAGAGTAGTGTAACAGTGGTATTGTTTTACTTGTATTTGCCAGAAGAGATTGCCATTAACTTACCAATAAATGGATGGCAATAAATACAATCCAGTCCGATACAAACGCGAGAAAATGGAAATAACAAAATGCACCATATTTAGCTTCTAGTGAAAATTACTTGAATACAAGAGTGAAGGAGTAGTCTTTATGTCAATATTAATTAATTTTATAGTATTACGATAAATTTTATACGAATTCACTTCAAGTAATAAGAGTTGTGCAGATATATGTGTAGGTACATACACATATTATAAATATGAAAATAGCTGTCTCTGTTGGTAGTTCTGACGTGCTCTAAGAAATGTGTCGATGTTTCGAATTTCTAGATTCCAACTTAACCTAAACTCAAAATTTCATAAACCGATTTATAACAGAACCATTACAAAGAAAATATTAAGTTAGTTTGTTTTGTAATATTCCTAAAATAATCTAAAAAAATACATTTGGGATTTCAAAAATTCGAGCAAACATTATTTCAAGCAAATGAAAAAATCGAAAAATTTTTTCAAAAGAGAAAGAAATTTCGGACTTCTGATTGATAACTCCAAACAGTGAAACGAATACAACAATATTTTGTTACTTATTTATTTCTAACATTTAATAAACAAGTAATGACTTTGAAAAAATGACTTTTTAATAAGATTGATTGATTTAATAATCAACTCTATAGTTTTTTTTGTTCTAAATCTCAATATTTCAATCACTTGTGTTTTGAAAATTGAAATTGACGTAACGGGTCTCTTACTGTCTTTAGCGCACGTCTTGTGTAGGATAAGGGACAGTTAGCTATTTGGTTATTTTGATTGCTTTTGTAATTTATGTGTATTGTATGTATGTACTCGTAGATGTACTTTTTATTTTTCTTTTTTCTTACAGTACAGCATTTTTTAAGATGATTTATATTAAAACAATTACAATTTATTTTCATTATTTGTAGTTTATTACATTATTATTTAATATATAATACAATGGAGAAATCAATTTGAATAAACTTCGTTACATAATCTATCGATAAAAATCGGAGCTAAAAAGCACGTTCGCTTCTCTATAACGAAAAAAACAGCGTTGCAAGACGACATATTTCATGGAGCACTTGACGCGGTGAATTCGATAATGCAAATGAAAAAACATCGATTTGAAAGTAGTGTTTATTTTGCGATGGTTGTATTGTGCCAGATTGCCTATCAATGACGCCTCCAGTCCTATATGCTATAAGGTAATAAGGTGCGCCGTATGTACGCTTAACAAGTCCAGTAGATATTATAAGAGTTCTGAAGAATTTGATAATTTTTTTTGGTTCTAAAGACTTTGTACATGTATCAGACGGAAATTTTAAGGTGTACAACCATTGTATAACAATTTTATTTCAAATTAAACGCAACGTTAATAAGGTGGTATCTCATTGGACAAAAAGTGCTACGTTCTAAACAAATTTGTCCAATATAATGTATATTCTGATTGAATATTGACTCGTTGTTTCACTAATTCCTGTGTCTATGTATTCGTACCGTAAACAATGTAAAGCAGCGTCCCGCACGATGTTTCCGTCGGTGTACTATTTACTCTACTTGCAAGAGGACAAGTACACTATTAACAGACTGGTGTAAAACCATAATTGTTCCTTATAGGGAGAAAAAGGGTCGCAGTAATAATATAAATAATTAATGCAAATTGTATGCTAAGGTTTTGATTGGGAGGATCATGTAAAAAATCGAATAAAAAATATATCTATACTAACAAGAAAGACTTGTCTTTCCATAAAAAAGGAGACTGAGTAGCCGAATTTCTCAAAATTCTGGGTCTTGGGCCCAACTCACACTGGTGCAGAGTCGAAGCGTCACGACGCGTCATGTTTTTCGCCTATAGTATATTCATATCTATTTTCCCATTATTAAAGTACAAATTTGTGTTATGCAAATATGGTAATAGGCGTTACTTGAGCACAGTGATGCGTCAGACGCTGACCACACTGTGAGCGGGGTGCACTAATGGGAGCGTCGTCGCGCGTCGACGCGCGTCGCCAAGCGTTGCAGTTGAAAGGGACGCTTCGACTCTGCGCAGAGACGCCCGTGTTCGTTATTGTCGATGTAAGAGGTCGTTTTCAACCATTACAATCTCTCCAATAAGGACGTACACCGAATAGTTTAACATCCATAGGAATCTCAGGCAGCAATGCGTAGAATCACCGATAACTTTTTAACCATAATTCATTGTGTTAGACCTGTAAATAAGTGAATGTGGATTACAAATTAATGAATTCTGTTATACATGAAGCGTTTCAAAAAAAATTTTAAGAAATGAAAGGAGAATGAAATCGAAAAGCAGATAATTGGTGCTCTGCATTGCACCCCTCTACGGTCAGTCAAAATTTGCCAAAAAAGCAAATCTGGCGGTTCAACGGGTCGTGGTTGTTGCAATCTTAATGTATGGTAGTGGATATAGGTTATGACGAACCAACGCAAGCCTGGTAGAAATTAAAGCGTTTCGTATTTTATGTGGAGTTACTCTTAAAGACGGATTGAGAGGAACAATATGATAAAAGAGCGTTGTGTTGTAAAAGATGATGTTATGACTGGAATTGTAGAAAGGCTGTATGATGGGGCCAAAATGGGGTAGGGTGATCGTACTGACGGACCTTGAGTTGTTCGCTCGATAGATGTGTGGGTCGCCGATGTTTATGCGTATGCCCAAGTTTTAGGGGGTTGCCGCGCCTCCCACTCTGGTCTGTCATAGACAGATGAAGTGCTAAGATGATTTTCCGTAAAGATGATTTTTCCGTATTGCCGTTGGACAACTGCTACGGTGATATCGCGTCAAAAGCGACCGTTCGCTAGCGCGGCGTAGTTGCAATTGCAACAAAAGCCAAATTAGAGTGTATAATCTATGACAGAACCCGTCAAAATGGGGAATGTCCTACCGTCAAATCAGTGCGTTTTTTTAAGATAGGAATAGAGGGGAGGTGAGTAGATCATTTGTGAATTTGCGAGGATACCTACGTATCAAACCCGACAGTGGTGTTACTTTTGTTTTGTTTGAAAAAACAAATATACGCGATTTAAATCCGGAAAAATAGTTTCATTCCATAAGTGGTGTTACTCTTAAAGACGGATTGAGGAACAATGTGATAAAAGAGCGTTGTGATGTAAAAGATGATGTTATGACTGGAATGGATGCTTCGATGACTTGGTCTTGTGGAAAGGCTGGATGTTATTAGAATCACGGCACGATGTCGATTGAAACCTAGAGGAAGGTCGATATCTCAACCATTTGATTGAGGATTTCCCTGAAAAAGGTCAGATCAGGAGTGTAAAGAATAAAAATCTACAAAAATACTGTTGAAAATGGAGGAAGCCAAAGTAATACGTGAGACACGTAACAAGTGGTGGCCCGTAGTCTGCATACTCCGCTGGGAGAGAAATGTGTGTATTTTTGATGATTAAAAATTTCGATGAAGTTTACAAGAACGATTATATTCGTAGTACGTAAATAACGGAAATCGAAGCTAATAAATTAAATAAGGAATAGATTGTCTCTTTGGGATATTTTGTTTGTTTTTATTTTGTTTCAATGAATCACTAGAAATTTAAATAGAAGTTGAATATTATGAATCGATTATCAGGGGTTCTTCAATAACAACGTCAACAATTCGTTAACAATGAATTTAATGACTATATTGATTTCTAATATAAAAGATGCTACTTAATTTTAAAAATAACTGATAACATTGCCTGGTGTGATCGATGGACGATGTATATGTATCAGATTTTCGCTGTTGTCATAATTAGTACCCACGTCTCTCAGCGCCACCACAGCGGTGCGTTCATTTAATCGGAGCGTACATTATCAATAATACTTTTTACAATTATACAATATTATACAAGAGCACGCAACCTTATTTAAAGTAATGAAACATTAAATAACAGCATTTGGTATCAAATAAATGTTATAAATACCCGTAATTGAGAACATGCGACTGGAAATCTTTTGGAATGCAGTTTAGTAGCGACTTGTTTATCAATATTTTATTTTACTTATAACTATATTTACTCATCAAATTCGGCTACGTCATTTTCGGCTTTCTTGTGTCCAACCCAATCCCACTTGGAGTAGTGGAGCTTGGTCTTTTTGAATTTAGGATTCTTAGAGGTGATCCGGACGAATATGCGGCGTCCGAAGAGAGGTTGCAGTTGCCTGAAGTTGTCGACGAGAGGTAGGTTCAAGTTGGATAGGAGGCCACGGAAGTTATCCATCTGGTGAGTAGAATATTTACTTAAATAATCATTTTAAATGTAATAATATCACATCTTCCAGTTTAAATGTGTCTACGTGTTTATTTGGGACCTAAATGTTCTCAGGTGCACACCTATGTTTATCGTGTCAATTACGCTAGCTACATTATTGCGATTTATGCGTGCACTATCTATCATTCATTTAGACATTTGATAGTTATGAAGTCATCACTTTGGACTAGCGTAGTATGAATGGCTTAATACGAGAGACATTAGGTTCAACACAGATGGATGGATGGAGCCCATGTTCAGTAAATAATATTTTTAAGTGTACACATACAGTACCTGGAAAACAGAGATCGGGAGGTAGTCGGAGAAGACGACCCACGTCACAGCCTCAGCGCAGGGGGGCGTGGTCAGTGAGCCCTTGTAAGTGTAGAAACGTTCGGTATCAAGACCAGACAGAATGGAAGAAAGCGAGAAGGTGTGTGGCAACTGCATGCTGGTGTTGTAGTTCTCGATGGCAGTCAGGTTCTTCACTATGGGAGTCAGCAGCTTCGCGTCGAATTCCACCACCTTTAGACAGATAATTATTATTCAATTCACCTTCATGCACCTTCAATTCAATAACAATGTAGTTTCAATGCTACATTGTTATTTTATTTATTGAGGGCTTATTCATGTTTTGTATAGCAGGTTGCATAAGTATAACGGTAAACAGCAGGTACCTGATAAAAGAAAGCAAGAACACAAAGACCATCAGGATGCTGGAGGGCTTCGGCGAGATTCCTGTACTTCTTGTTCCTGTGGATGATATGCATCTCAAGGGGCAGCCTCATGTCGTTGAGGGTGTGCTCAGAACCACGATTGTTTTTGTCCCCCCAATGAAAGTGCAGGCCTTCGATTTCATACTCGTTGTCAAGGGGGCCACCGAATATATAAGGGAGACGGAAGCCTTTCTTTTCTTCCTCAGAACTGTATTTCGGGATGGTTAGGGCCACTGGAAAAATGAAATGGCTTTTTAGATTAAACTGAAAAGATTGATGTCAAAATATCAATTAAACCACTTGATTTGGTGTTTACAGGTCGGTTACACATTTGAGTTTCATCTCAACTCACCGGAATGTCCATTATTAGTGATGGTAAGAGGGCCAGGCAAGGGATTTTGGTAGCCTATAAGTTCCATAGCTGGGATAGAGATGGGTATAGCTTGGCGCGCAGCGATAGCTATGGGGGATTGTTGACGACCTCCGCATGCTGGGTGGAGAACTGCCCAACGGCGCTGATCCGAAGCTCGATAACCCCAACCATGTACTGCAAATCAATATTTCATAAATACATCGCGTTGTAACGGTAAACATATGATCAAAACCAGTCTAGTATCGTAACAAATTAATACGTTAGTTAACTCAGGTAAATTTTCTTTAACATTAAAATTATTAATACAGATTTCTATAGGTACCTAAATACTACATCGAATTGTGTTAGACACTTTTAGATAACTTCACATGTAGTTTCTTGATTGGCATTATTAACGACGGTATATAGATAGATGGTAGTAGGATGGTAGATAGAGTTAAAATGTAGGTATTAAGGACGCCCACTTGTTTATTCTAGGCCGGACGTAGTTATGTGAAAATTATATGAAACAATATTATTACATTGTCAAATACTTTATACTGTATAGTAATTAATAACATTGTTTTGTTCTGTTGCATATTGTTATCAAAACAAGATGCGTTTGCATATAACACGATTATCTGACTCGCGATCCAAACATAGCTGTTTAATAATATTATTACTATAGCATTGTTCTTTCGAATTATTTCTTCTATTCTTCTAATTGTTTTAATATGACATACAAAAATTTTCAAATTCTTTGATAAGATTTCTTGCAATTACTGTACCGCGATTGACAGACAGATACAGACAATAATTATGATTAACCCATAAATCGTGGTCAGGGCGAAATATTTTATTCATGTTCACGGCATATAAGAAATACGTGTCATGCTTAAGTATCGTTGAATTAGGCGAAGTACAACTATAAGATTTAGCATCTCATTGCGGAGTCAAGGCGTATCGCGTTTTTTTAATCCTTAGTTTTTTTTGCTATCCCGTCACATTATGCAAAATCATGCATATTATATGCTTAAAGAATTTATTTGTAACTATATAGGGCGATGACAATGTCGTTTTAATTAATTTTACGACGATGTTCAATCGCGGATTGTGTTACAAAATTTATTTGAGTATAATTTTTTAATTAATAAGTTTGAAAGAAGAAAGAGACATTTATGAATAGCGCACGCTAAAATAAAAAGATTCCAAACAGGACACGTTGCAATCCAAAACAACAACAACAAATAGCTCAGGCTTACTCAGGCTACGGAATAATTATCGTTGACTAAATACAAATATCAGGAAACCGAGACCAAAGGACCCAGTATAAGACCGGAAAAAACAAATACTTATACGCGATCTAGATCCGAAAAATGATTTCATTTCTATGTAACAATCCTTGTGTATTAATCGCGAAAACCAAAGAACTCGATAAACACAAATTGTTTTATAATTTTACTTTGATATTATAGTTGTAAGTCAATGTTTGATATAGTATAAACATAAAACTTTAGAACATGATGTAGATTTTGATTTATACAATTTTTACTGCATATGAAATAACTTTTATTCATATGCAAACACTCGAGGCGGCCAATTGTATAGACAATCCCAAAGTTCAAAGGAATTACTTATCTAATGAACTGTATGAAATAATTACGATAAAAACTTGTCTTGTTACATCCAGAAATATACTTATTTCGAAAATAACCATATCAGAAACACGTGTCTCTCAAAGGGAATTTTGAAATATGTTATCGGTTTGATATATAGAAATTGACCGCTATGTTGATCTTTTTACTTATTGTAATTATACAGCATTGGCCAAAATCATTTACAAAAAGAGGGTCCTTAAAATTTTAAATTAAGAGTATAACTCCAATCACTTCCGGTGTTTGTTTCCATGTTGCCACTTTCTACAAATTTTATGACCAGCCTCTAATGAGATCGCATTCTTTTCGGGTAAATTAAATATGTCACGTTGGATTAACATTGGAATTCTTGCTATTGCACTGTATTTACCTACCAAGGTTCGCATTTTGATGTAATGCACACGTAAACAATTTTTGATTGGATATAATTAAGGCTAGACTAGATAAACTAGAATGTTTATGTCTTAAATTTTTTGACCAATATACTAACGTAAGAATATCTTTGAAAACAAATTTTGTTTGTATTTTGTAACACCTTAACAAATTTTTGTTATGGAACGAAATTTAAAAATATATTGGATACAACATAGATGTTATCTAAAAAATTAACCCTTAAAAAAACTTGCCCTTCATTTTGGGCTTACTACTACAACGTCGGGGTTAATATAGTATGATTTTAGTTAGGGAGTTTGTTAAGATCCCAAGTACGAGTAAAGACTGCGTTTATTTGCGTGTGTTTTGTCGGATGTTTGTGCGCGCCGGCGCGCGGTCGAGCACAGGAAGAGCCCACGTTTTTCGCATGTCTCTTAACGAAACAATATCAGATGCGGTAATAATCTAACGCAATTTTAGGCAAAACAATAAGCAATATTTCAAGTACTTAAAATTTTGTTAACAATCCAGTTAATTATACATTACGTATGTATGTCTCTCGTAAAATACTACCATACCGGCTCACTCACCGGAGGTCCCACGCATGGAGTTTCCATCTTAAATCAAAATTGACATTGAGAACTCAGCTACTACATATTGTCTAAACAATTGCAGAGTAAATCCATAAAAATAATTGTTAGTATAGAATGTACATTGCAAAGATTATAAATATCGTTGTGCAGTGTTATTTCGTCTATGGGAGCACATTTAATTCAGTCCTTGAAAGAAATATAATTAAAGTTAAATTTGAACTTGCGTGTGAAAAGACTAGGTGTTACGTTGTACATAAAGTGCTTACAGTAAGAGCTTGCACAAATTTTATGTTTTATTATATCAAAATATTTATTTATCACAAACTCATCACTATTTTTATAATTTAAAAACTTGATTCTTTGGTCCAATAAAAATATTTGAACTTATAATATAAAAATGCCACTTTCTATTTATAATTTTAGTTAATAAGTGAATAACTCACCGCTAGCTGCGATGGCAGCGATAACAGAGAAAAAGAAAAAGTAATTCATTTTGAGATCACTGCACTGGATTGATTGAAGGACTAATTGAAACTCGATGATGGTGCAAGCGCGACGGCCGCTTAAATACTACACCGACTACTAGCTGCTACCGTTTTCAATGGCCCAACGTCACCTCGTGAGAAGTTAACCCCTTGCAAATTGTTTCAGACATTACACTGGGCCTAAACGACCCACACCGATCAATTAGGGCTAAATGAAACGATTCCGAAAGGATATGTTATAGTCTGTCGAAGATGTATTTCTCGACTATAGACTAAAATTGCTTTTTGCAATTATAATTTTTACTCTATCCGGTCCTGCCCATCCCGTCTGGATTAATTGACTGGCATTAGAAAAAGCGGATGTCGGACTTTTATACTAACGGGAAACGTTACTGGCCAAACCACACAAAGATACGTAATAAACTCTAACGTCATTCTTTAGTAGGCATTGTAGCTGTCAATCAGTAGTTTTGTATGTGTATTAATATAGTTTCCCGATCTGGTACTGGTGTATTTCGACTTGACCGTGCGTCAAATGGAGTAATAGTAGCGTTGGGATAGACGTAATTTTCATGTACTTCCTCCTATTTACACCTAATGCGGAAATATGCTAAATATCCTTAATGATATTAGAAATCGCGTTTACGTGAGTATATAGTGTATAGGCAGAGTAATACCGTGAAACATATTACGAGTCTTTTATCCTGGATTACTACCAGTGGTATGTGTCCTACGAATTTTGGTCATTTGTTGCTACATTGTTTACGAAATTACCTTCAGATTTGATCTATTTCTATAAATTTATCTGAAACCTGAATTGACAAAGAACTAGGTAACTAGCTATTACCTAACTAAATCATTGTTCCTCGTGTGAAGTGACATTTAAGCGTGTTTCGACAACTGTACTACTTTAGGGCACTCAAGAAGATAATTGAATAATGTTAATTTCATGTCATGCAAAAATATTCATTCATCATCAATGGACCGAAATGACCCACACGGGCTTAAAATTCAGCCGGCGTAGCGTTTGCAGGGTTAAAGCCTCTAGACCCATTGGGAGCTAATATGAACAATAGATGATAACAGAAAGATGATGTAAATATTCGGCTAGTTAAGTATCAAAACATTCATTGAATAGAACAAAAATAAAAGCCATTATGGGCATTGTATCATCTGTAACAATCCTTATGTCAACTGGTTGCGTGACATAACAATTTTTCATACAGAAATGTTGATAAATTTATTCAAAATAAAGTATAATACACAGGCATAATTAAATGTTAAATCTTTCAAGTTTATTTTTGATATCAAGGCCTGGCCATAGCGCGGACCACAGACATATTATATCTATGATATATGTCTGTGGCGCGGACGCATTGTATATATGTATAATATGCTCCTTTTTTGAATCCCCCAAAGTTTATTCAAACAAACAAAATAAAATTAATTATTATTAACACAATTAGGGCTTGCTGAAAACCAGCGCTACAGGCTGAAATCTATGAGCCTGTAGCTAATAGCTGAGCAAATCCCGTTTGCGTGCGCCGCGACACGCATTTATTATTACATTTTTATTTTTTTTATTTTTTATTTTATTTTGTTTTAATCATTATAATTATGTTTTAACTTTTGTTGTAAGTCCTGTATTTTAGTTTAAAGTTTATAATGTTCTATTTTAATTTTAAGATCATGTGTGTCTCGGTGCTTACGCAATAAAGTATTCTTATTCTTATTCTTATTCTTATTCTTATTCTTATTATTTACCTATCAATTTTTGTATTTTTTACAACATTTCATGGACTTTTAAATGTTCAAAACGAAAAATAAGAAAACTAAACCTTACCTAAACCCAATTTGTTATTTAAAATTTAAAACCATGCTGTAGGATAGTTACGGCTTCGGTAACACGCTATGGTGCTACACAATAGGGTGGACCCTCACTTGCAAGTACATTTCAGCTCTGCCTCCATTCCATGCTGCACGCCGCTGCCTCCATGCTACACGCCTTTTTTATATGAAACCCCGTATAAAATGCAAGTTTGGTCTGGATGGACGAGGTGTTAAGAGCTCTGGATATACTCTCCCGGTGAACTTTTGTGCTAAATTAGGATAACACCATTTTTATGCAATATAATCAGCCGCACGGTTTTGTAACAGGAATTGTTACGCGGATTTACTATTATGCGCAATTTTTTTCTCTGTATAATATAATATAACATAACATAACAACACAACACAACGCAACGCAACGCAACGCAACGCAACGCAACGCAACGCAACGCAAACGCAACGCAACGCAACGCGTCACAACACGTCACAACACGTCCCAACACGTCACAACATAACATAATATAACATGACATAACATGACATAACATGACATGATACGACATAACATAACATAACATAACATAACATAACATAACATAACATAAC